ATTTACGAGGCAGCTTAAAGGGACAGGATACTGACCGCAACAGACTGGACTGCTTATTTCAAACAGTCAGGGACTGATGTAGCAGGAAAGGGGTCTGCCAAAAGGGCAAGGGGATAGATACTTGGAGTTTGTATAGGAGGTTTGGAACATGGGAAGTTATGTGGGTCATAGTGGGAGACTGAGTCTGGCAACTCAGTGATGAGGGAGGGGTTGGGGTTTCAACATAGGGCCTTGGTCTGGGTCTGACAGAGTTTGTTCAAGGTTTACTCTAACAAGGTGTACAGATAAACAGAATACGTGTTTTACCTGCTGGGGTCATGTAACAAATGACTTCATTATCCAGTAGCTTCAAACAAAGGCCTCTCTGGGGCCGAGGATGTAGCTCAGTTGGTAGAGTGCTTGTCTACCATGCATGAACAAAGCTGTGGGTTTGATTCCTGGTACTGTGTTAAATAGGTAAGTTTTCTAGCACTTAGAATGTTTGGTCAGAAACCACAGTGTTAACGTGTTAACATTTCTTCTAGGCTCTGCCCAACAGTTACCTAGCAACAGACAGGTATGAGAGCCTGGCTTCCTATAAAAGGACTATTTGGCCTTTCTGGAGCTCTGCCTCTTATATCTGGCCTCTCTCTGGCCTCTTCCTCTCCTCCCTCTATTCTCTCTCCATGTGTTCCTGGCCAGCCTTGTCTCTCGTCTCTCTCTCTCTCTCTCTCTCTCTCTCTCTCTCTCTCTCTCCTTCTCTGTCCGCTCTTTTTTCTTGCCTCTACTGCTTTCTCAACTCCCCTTCCCACACCCCCAAATAAACTCCATTTTATACTAGACCTATCGTATGGCTGGTACTTCAAAGGATGCCTCAGCATGGGCTTGCTAAGACACCTCCTCCTGCCACATCATACCTTGTTTTACAAAACATATCACCCAGCACTGTACAAACCAAATGTGGTGGGTAGGGTGGGGTGGAGGCAGGAGAATCAGGAGTTCAAGGTCATCCTCAGCTACCCAGGGAGTCTGAGCTACATTGCTTTAAAAACGAGTGTTGGAGGTGGAGGGAGGGCAAAAGGGATGGAGAGAGAGGTAAAGAGGAAGTGAGGGAGGGCAAGAGGGACTGAGAGAGACCTTTGCTGGGTGTCGTGAAACTTCTGCCCTGGGGAAACCAGAGGACCCTATGGGAGAATCTTCTCAGCACCTGGGACAGCACCCAGTGCGCACCCGTTTCCTCTTGACAACATCAACCTTGGCAAATGGTGCACAGTCAACCTGAAGTGCACAGAGACGTTCCATCCACCTTGGGTGTGTCTGGGAATTGGGTAGGAGGCCTTCAAAAGCGGGACTTTGCTTACATCTTCCTCTCTGCAATAACCACGTTCCTAGCCAGCCTGGAACTCAAGTACGGAACAGGTTCTTGTAACACAAATGCCTTCTTGTCATTTTTTTTTTTTCCAAATTGCATGGTAGAGGCTGGCAAACTGTGGCCCTCTGCTTGTTTTCTAAATAAAGCTTTATTGCAACACAGCCATACTGGTTTGTTTGCGCATTGTCTGTGGCTGCTTCCTGCTTCTGTGGAGGAGTGGCTGCAATCCTAGGGCAGTTGAGAGGATGAGTTGAGAGGCATCTTCTCAGTAAGAGTCTGTCCTAGGAGTAGATGATTTTAGGTTGAATGCACTCAAGGTTGTCCTCAACTACATAGTGAGTTAGAGACCAGCCTAGACTACAAGAGACAAACAAACAAACAAACAAACTACAAAACCAAAAAAGTAGCCATCATTGTGGCTTATCTGTTTGCCTTCTTCTTACCATCTTCTTAGTCAGATGAAACTCCATGACCAAAGCAAGACAGGGAAGAAAGGGTTTACCTGGCTTACACTTCCATATCATTGTTCATCCTCATAGGAAATCAGGACAGGAACTCACACAGGGCAGGAACCTGGAGGGAGGAGCTGATGCAGAGGCCAGGGAGGAGTGCTGCTGGCTGGCTTGCTCTCAACAATCTAAGTTTCCACGGAGCAGCCCACTAAGCTCTCGAGACTCAAAGGCTTTTCGAGCCCAGAGTTCCAAAGTCCTTTTACAATCCTCCGCGAAACACATGGTCAGGTCTGTCACAGCAACACCCAGCTCCAGGTGCCAATTTTCCATCCATGGTCTTTCCAAGCCTATTGCGTCACTGGCATTGAAGCCTGTTGTTGCTGAAGGTATTGGAAAAGGTGGCGCTCTGGCTGCTCCCGGCCGCCGCCATGTTTCTGCTCTAAGTTCCTGCACTAAAGGCGAAACTGGCTGGCGAGAGGCGCCAGCCTGAGACCCACGAAACGTTAGTGTGGCTGCTGCCTCCGCCGGTCAGCTCCATGGTGTCTAGCCCCCAAAGCCCAGGGAGTATCTGCCACCTCCATGCGGGAGATTTAACAATTCCAGTACCCGGTAGAAATAAGACTCTTAATGCTTAAAGATTAACCAAATAGATTTATACATCAGCAAATACTCAATACACAAGATGCCCAGATAATTAGAATTGTTAACCCAAATTATCTAACTTGATATGAATAACTGCTAGTGACCTGAGGGTAACATCTCCTGCCATCTTGCTTCTCCTCCTCTCTCCTTCTCTTCTTTCTCTCTCTCCTCCAAACTTTTCCGCTCCACCTCCCCTTCTACTGCCCAATCACCATCTCTAGCCTTTATTTTACAAATTAAGGTGGGCAGAAGGTTCACAAGAAGTCACCTGTGTACTGATTCACGCCTTGTCTGGAGCCCCTCCCAGGAAAGCAGAGTTAGCATCAACATACAAGACCAGGGCTCTCCACAGCAGTCTACTTCTTCAGGATTCTGGCATACACTGGAGACCAGCCTCATGGACTACACAGCTACTGGGTTTGTTGGTCATTGGTAGACGGCCACTGTTAGACTAGCTAGACCACAGCCTGTTACATTTGGTCATGGCTTTTTATCATAGCAATAATAATCCTGTCTAGGACATCTCCTCACATCTGTGGTAGATAAAGGCACCCAGACATTTGAAAAACACTCTTTTTAAATTAAAATTTTAATTTATCTTTTAAATTTATTTTTAATTTATCTTTTATTTATCTTATGTGTTGTTACTGCTTGAATTGTCTGTGAGCCATTTGTGTGCAGTGCCCGTGAAGGTCAGAAGAGGGCGTCTGAGCCCCTGAAACTGGAGTTAGACATGGTTGTTGGGTGCTGGGAACTAAACCTGGGTCCTCTGCAGGAGCAGCAAGTGCTCTTAACCACTGAACTACCTTTCCAGCTCCAGGTGAGTGGCCCTTTACTGTTTCTGTCAGGGAAACTGTGTGGGTAAGGAATGCATCTGGAACACAAGAGATGTTAAATAATTGTTGCAAGCAGCTGTGAGCACTCACAAGTGCACACTAAGGCCTGCTGTTCTTTTTTCTTTTGGAGTGACCAATCATCCCCTAAGCATAACTTCTTACAAAGGGAATGTCATCCTGTGACAAGTGCCTGACTAGACTTTCAGGAACACTGGTTAATTGACTCCCACCAACAGGGAGTTTCCCCCAATCCTTGCCAACACGGAATATTTATCATAATTTTCAATGTTGCCAATCTGATAATTGAAAAATATTATCTCATCTTCATGAAGACAAATCAGATGTCAAGTGTGCTGGGAAATTTTCTAGCTACAGGACGCATTTGCCCATAGTCTATAGCTTTTTTCCGTAACTTCCTTTCTTTTCCTTCCTTCCATCTGCCTGCTTGTCTGTCTGTCTTCCTTTCTTTCCCCCTGCTTCTAGGCACTAACGCTTCAGTATGTTTTAAACATATTATTCTTTTCTTTTGGTGTAAAGTGTGTGGGCACATACATGCCATGGTGGGAGGTCAGAGGACAACTTTTGGGAGTTTGTGTTATCTTTCCACTATGTTAGGAATCAAACACAAGTTGCAGAGCTTGTGTGACAAGTGCCTTTACCCCATGAGCCATCTCACTGTCATTTTAAAGCCAGCATCCTTCTTTTCCTTCAGACCCAGTGGTCCAGGTCCCAGGGTTCTCCCTCAGACCCAAAAGTCCACCCCCCCCAGACTTCCTCTCTTAGACACAAGAGTCCAGATCCTACCCTTCTCTCTCAGACTCAGGAGTCTATACTTCACCCTCCCTCCTCAGACCCAGGGGTCCAAGCCCCAGCCTTCTTTCTTCCTCTACAAGGTATATGCAGAAAGTACTATCATTAACTATTATTTAGAGGAGAAAAATCATGGTTCATTCTACAGGGGGTCACTGTCTAGAAATGGAAATGCTTGGTATCTATCTATCTAATTTATTTATTTTCTTCCTCCCATATAGTATTTCTTTGCATGGACCTGGCTGTCCTAGAACTCCCTCTGTAGACCAGGCTGGCCTCAAATTCATGGATTTGCCTGCCGCTGTCTCCATAATTCTGGGATTAAAAATGTGCACCGGGCTGGAGAGATGGCTCAGTGGTTAAGAGCACTGACTGCACTTCCAGAGGTCCTGAGTTCAAATCCCAGCAACCACATGGTGGCTCACAACCATCTGTAATGAGATCTGATGCCCTCTTCTGGTGTGTCTGAAGACAGCTTCATATATAATAAATAAATAAATCTTTAAAAAAAGACTTCCATTTAAAAAAAAAAAGTGTGCACCACCACCACCTAGCTGCCATTTTTCTCTCTTTCCTTTCCTTTTCTTTTCTTCCCTTTTCTTTCCCTCTTCTTTTCTTGTCTTTTCTTTCTCTTTCCCTTTCTTTCCCCCTTTTCATTCCCTTCCCTTCCCTTCTCTTTCTTTTCTCTTTTCAGGACGCCTTTGGATTGGTTAAGTGTGACGACATTTGATCTGGTGGCTGACACACCTGTCAACCTCCGCGGCTCCGAATTCCTAGAAACTACGTTTCCCAGCTTTAAGTGCGCCGTGGGCCTGGTTTCTAAAGCCCCGCCCCCACATCTGGCCACTCCCCAAAGTCGGGGTCTGGCGACAGAGTCCTTCCACTTCCACGGTACGCCAGCGCACGTGGGTTCCTGGGTAGCACGTTCGTCCGCGAAGTGGCCTGGAGTGCAGATCCACCGACACCCTGTTCCCAAGCCTGGGATGAACCGCTTTCTGCTGCCGGTGTCCGTAGTGGGCACGGTGATCGGCGGCACCGTGCTGCTCAAGTGAGTTTGCGCGTCTCTACGCGCTTGGTGGTAGGCCTGCAGCAGGGGAATGCCGAACAAGGCCAGAGAAGTATCCCTTGTCCTCGGTCCTCGTCCGGATTCTCCCTCCTCACCCACTAGTACAGCCTTTCCGGGACAAGCTGGAGGAGGGCGGGTCAGCTCTCCAAGGTCACCTAGGGAGAAGGGGTGGGGCTTGTGCTCATTTTGTCTCTGGACTACTCTTTTTCTCCTCTACTCTTTCCTCTCCTCGCCTTCTCCTCCCTCCTCCCCCCGTCTGTTTCCTCCTCTTCTCTCCTCTCTTCCCTTTCCTCTCCAACCTCCGTCCTTTTTTCCTTCCTTGGGTTTTTCAGATTGTGTCTCACTATGAAGTCTTGACTGGCTTGGAACTCTTTATATAGACCAGGCTGATTTTGAATTCACAGAGCTCCACTTGCCTCTGCCTCCTGAGTGCTGGGATTAAGGACATGTGTGTGTGTGTCGCCGCTAACAGCTTACATGAGGCGCTTTTTTTTTTTTTTTTGGCCTGCATGTATGTATATGCCATGCTTTCAGAGATTAGAAGAGGGTGTTAGAACCCCGTGGAACTGGAGTTATTGTGAGTCACTATGCAGGGTGCTAGGAACTGATTCTGGGTCCTTTGTAGGAGCAACAGTGCTCTTACTGCTGAGACATCTCTCCAGCTTTATGAGGTATACATATCCACTTCACACTCATGTTCTCCAACTCCCTTGGGTCCCTTCTGACACATGCTCCTTCCAAGGTCATGCATTCTATCAATCTGTCTGTCTATGTGTCCATCCATCCATCCATCCATCCATCCATCCATCCATAGACAAGGTAACATGTAGCCTAGGCTGGCCTTGAGCTTGACCAAGGTAGTTGAGGATGACCTCAAATTCCTGATATTCCTGCCATTGCCTCCTGAGTTCTGGGCTTGTAATTGTGGATCACCACTTCTGGCTACAGTCTTTTGTTTTTATAAAAATGTAAATAAACGATTGTTACCTCTTGGAGATGTCCCAATGTATAATTCTTTTCTGCGGCCTTGACAAGGACTCCATGTGTTTTGTTGCTTTGATGCTGGATGTGAGCTTACAAGCGTGGTTTGCCCCAGCTCATAAATCCAGGCATGAGGCAGGCAGACCACACTGTGCTGTTTCTCACCTTCAGGGACTATGTCGCTGGTGGGGCTTGTCCCAGCAAGGCCACCATACCTGGGAAGACTGTTATCGTGACAGGAGCCAACACAGGTATCGGGAAACAAACTGCTTTGGAGTTGGCTAAAAGAGGTAAGACCTCCACTTGCTTTGGGGTTTTGAAGAGTTATGTGCACACTGTGTGTATGGCAGCCTTGTTTAAAATACCTCAAAGGTGGAAGCATTGATATACAGACAAACAGAATATGGCTCATCTGTACAGTGGACTATTACTACGCTTTCAGAAGGAAATGAATTCAGAAATGCTCCTGTGTGGTGATTCCACAGGATGTTGCTACATGAAAAAAGACAGACACAAAAAGGACTACTGCATAATTTTGCTAGTTTGTATTCTTAAAAAAAAGCCAAAAACAAAACTATTTTTACTATGTAGTGTGTGTATGTTGGGGTGGAGTGGGTTTAAGCCTGCCACCATGTGTGTGTGTGTGTGTGTGTGTGTGTGTGTGTACGCGTGTAGTTGAGAGGACAACTATGGAAGCTGCTTTTCTTCTTCCAGTATGTAGGTCCAGGCGTTAAACCCTGGTCCTCAGACTTAGCAGTAAGTGCCGTGACCTGTTGAGCCAATTGCCAGCCCCAGTATTTGTATATCTTTTTCTTTTCTTTCTTTCTTTTTTCTTTTTTCTTTTCTTTTTTTTTTTTGGTTTTTCGAGACAGGGTTTCTCTGTATAGTCCTGGCTGTCCTGGAACTCACTCTGTAGGCCAGGCTGGCCTCGAACTCAGAAATCTGCCTGCCTCTGCCTCCCAAGTGCTGGGATTAAAGGCTTGCGCCACCACTGCTAGCCCCAGTATTTGTATATCTTGATATGTCTGTGCTGTGTTTATGGGGAGAGGTGGGTGCACACATGCTTATGCGTGCACATGCCTGTGGAGGACAGAGGACAGCGTCTGGTAGCATTTCTCAGAATAGCATTTCTCAGAATAACGGTAGCACATTCCCATACATTCTTCAAATGTTTCCATTTTTCCACATGTCCTTAGAATAATTTCATGGCACTCCCCCCTCCCCCCAAGTATCCCCTAGCACCAGGAAATCCTTGTCTTTTCTCTCTTTGTGGATTTACCTATTCTGGACATGGTATATAAATGGAAGCATGTATGAATTTTGTGTCTGACTCACTGAGTGTAGTAGTTTCAAGGTCCATTCACCATGTCATGTGTCGGTGTGTCACTACATTTATGGCTGAATAGTATGCTATCTCCTGGATAGACTGAAGTTGGTTTATGTATTGATTAGTGAGTGGACATTTGCTATTTTGTGTGTGTGTGTGTGTGTGTGTGTGTGTGTGTGTGTGTGTGTGTTGGGGATTGAACCCAGGGCCTCTTGTTTGCTAGGCAGGTGGTCTATTACAGAGCTACTCCCTAGCCCCTCACTGGGGGATTCTAGGCAGGTGTTCTACCTCAGAGCCACGTTCCCAGCCTCTCATGTGGGGATTGTGGATACTTTACCACTGAGCCACACCGTCAGTTCTTCACTGGGGGACTCTAGGCAGGTGCTCTACTGCCGAATTACATCCTCAGCCCTATTTTGACTTTTTTGAGACAGGTTCTTACCAAGTTGCCCAGGCAGGTCTTGAATTTACTTTGTAACCTAGGCAGGCCTTGAACTTGCAATCCTTTTGCCTCAGCCTCCAGAGTCACTGACATTTCAGGCCTACACCACCCATCCTGGTAATAATTGAGTTTCCATATTTTGCCTATTGAATATGTTACTAAGAACACTTGTGTATAGGTTTAAGGTGGGTGTGTGCTTTTATTTCTGCTGGATAGATGTCTAGGCTAGATGTGTTTTCTTATTTTCCAGGAGGCAACATCATTCTGGCCTGCCGTGACATGGAGAAGTGTGAGGCGGCTGCAAAGGACATTCGCGGAGAGACCTTGAATCCCCGTGTACGTGCTGAGCACCTAGACTTGGCTTCCCTCAAGTCCATCCAAGAGTTTGCAAGGAAGATCATTAAAGGTAGGCAAGAGAACGTTGACTTTTCCAGCCAAGGTTTGTAGCTTTAGGCTAGCCTCTGAGGTACCTGAAGGCTGTAAGTTCTGGAGCAGAGGCTGGCTAACATGGTCTGCTGGCTAACTGCAGCTGCCACCTGTGTTTCTGTTGTCTTCATAAGATCAGCTGTGCCTGCTTGTGAGAGTCCATCATAATCTGGCTTGTGGACTGTTGACACTCCCTCCAAGTAGGAGGGAGTAGCGGTTTGAGTGAGAATAACCTACGTAGCCTCATATACTTGAATGCTTGGTCCCCAGTTGTTAGAACTGTTTGGGAAGGATTTTGGAGGTGTGACCTTGCTGGAGTGTCATTGAGAGTGGGCTCTGAGGTTTCAGGAGCCCACACCGCTCTCAGTTAGCTTAAGCTGCCTCGTGCTTGTGGATCAGAGAGAAGCTCTCAGCTATTGGCTCAGCCCCATGCCTGTCTGTCTGCTGCCATACTCCCCACTTTGATGATCATGGATGCTAACTCTCTGAAACTGTAAGCCTCCAATAAATTCTTTCCTCTGTAAGTTGCCTTGGTCATGGTATCTCATCATGGCAATAGAAAAGTAACTAAGACAGAAGGGTTAGGGAGGGTCATTGGACCCTTATTTATTAATTTTTTGAGACTGGGTCTTACTGTGTAGCTCTGGCTGGCCTGGAACTCTCAGAGATCGTCAGTCTGCCCCTGTTTCTTGAGTGCCAGGGTTAAAGGCATACACCACCACGCCTGGCCCTTTTCCCATCTTAACTCATGTTACACACAACAGCTCCCTGGTCAGGAGTTAACATGCTTCCTTAAAAGGTTTTATTTATTTTTTTATTTTGAGACAGGATCTTATGTATTATCTAAGCTACCCTCAAACTCAAAATCCTCCTCCGCAGACTCCTGAAAGCTGAGATTACAAGTGTGCGCTACCATGCCAACTAACGTAGCTTCTTGTTACTTTTTTTCCCCCGTGTTAGGAATAGAACCGAGGACCTTGTGAATGCCAGGTTAAAGACTGCTGCTGCTGAACCACACCCTCGGCCCTTTACTAGTTAATTCTAGGCAGGCACTCTATCATTAAGCCACACCCCCCAAGCCTGTCAGTCTGGGATTTTAGGCTAGTGCTCTGCCACTGAGCCACGCCTCCATCCCTTCATTGGGGGACTTTAGGCAAGGGCTCTACTGCATGCGCCCAGCCCCTCACGGGGAGACTCTAGGCAAAAGCTTTACTCCTGAGCTGCATTCTCACTTAGTCCCATGACATCTTTTTGGGAGTTCATCTCCGAGTAGATCCTGACTGTGCAGGATGATGGGTGGACCAAGCGATGGGGATGTGTTACAGTGATTAAAAACACAGTATCTACAGTGTGATTGGGAGACTGGAGTCAGATGGAGGACCAAGAGTCGGACCTGGGGAGTGGGACTCTGCTGCCACATAGCAGCAGTTGGCGGGTGCTGGAGAAGGGCAGGGCACCGACTCCCTTGCTCCCAGGCTTTCTGGTGATGCTGAGGACAGTGATGAGTCAGAAGGGCTCTGTGTGTCAGGTCACACGATCCGATCCACGTGCTGCTGGAGGGCAGTGCCTGGAGCTTTCTTGTGAGTGCCCTTGGATAATCCCACAGCTCTTCTGGCAAATTCTGTACTTCTGTCACAATGAGGGGTGACTCACCCCTTTGTTTCTTTTCAGGTGATCCCAAAACTGTGATATGTCAGTGTTTTAAATAGGACCATAGCTCCATCTTGAAGCAAGTCAGGAAGTACAAGGTGTGTTCAGCATGCTAGCTTCCTTATTTTAATTGATTTATTAAAAATTATTTATATGTGGTGGTCAGTGGTGGTTCACGCCTTTAATCACTCCGGCGTCTAGGAGGCAGAGGCAGGGGAATTTCTGTAAGTTTGGTGCTAGCCTGCTCTACAGTGTGAGTTCTAGGACACCCAAGGCTACACAGAGAAACCCTGTCTTGAAGAAACAAACAAACAAAAAAGAAAAAACTTATGTGTGTAGTATTTTTATTACATGCATGTATGTGCTGCACATGCATACAGTGCTTGCAGAGGCCAAAAGGGGCCCTCTGGAACTGGAGTTACGGATGACTGTGAGCCACCATGTGGTTGCTGAGAATCACACTCAGGTCCTCTGGAAGAGCTGCCAGCGCGCTCTTAACCTCTGAGCCATCTCTTCAGCCATTTGTTTCCTTTTTTTAAATTTTTTTAATTTTTTTTTATTTTTAGATTTATTTATGTATTCAGCATTGCTCTCTTCAGACACACCAGAAGAGGGCATCAGATCTCATTACAGATGGTTGTGAGCCACCATGTGGTTGCTGGGACTTGAACTCAGGACGTCTGGAAGAGCAGTCAGTGCTCTTAACCATTGAGCCATCTCTCCAGCCCCATCTTCAGCTATTTGTTAACTTTTAAGTTATATTTACTGTAATTATCTGTCTGTCTATCTCCATCCATGTAACCATCTGTCAATGTTTGTGTGTATGTATGTATATATCATGTATGTATGTATGTATGTATCATCTGTGCATCTGCATTTATCTATCATGTATGTATGTATGTATGTATGTATGTATCATCTATCATCTGTGTATCTATGTATCTATCATGTATGTATATATCTATGTATATCTATCTGTCATGTATGTATGTATCTATTATCTATCATCTGTATATCTAAGTATGTATGTATGTATGTATGTATGTATCTATCGTGTATGTATGTATCTATGTATATCTAGCTATCATGTATGTATCTATCTTTTGTCTATCATCTGTGTATCTGTGTGTATATATGTATCTATCAGTATGTATCACTATCATCTGTGTATCTGTGTGTGTATGTATGTATCTATCAGTATGTATCATCTATCATCTGTGTATCTGTGTATCTATGTATCTATCTATCATGTATATATATATATATATATATATGTATTTATCCATCATCCATCTAGCATTTGTGGGTGCAGACGTGCCACAGCACACTTACAGAGGTCACAGTACGATTTGCAGTTGGCAGCAGGCTCACTGAGCCATGTCAGTGGCCCTAGCTTCTTGTGTACTCTTCTGTGGCTCTTTTAAAGCATTTATAAAGCAAGCATGTATTCATTAATTAACTTATCACCTTGACGAACTATCTGACAGAAATATAATAGAGAAGTTAATTTTGACTCACAGTTTAGGGGACACCATCTGTCATGGCACGGGGAGGCATGGCTGATAGATCTGGTCAGAGCACTTTGATTGGAGGTGGTGGGAGCTTTTAGCACAGCTTGTCCTTTTGGACAGCTTAGTAGATCTAGAAGCAGAAAGGTCTGGCAGGATCCAGAAGCATGTATCACCTTCAAGGCCTGCCTTCAGTGACCCACTTCAGCTAGCAGGGCCACAGTACCAAAGATTCTGCAAGCTCTTGAGACAGGAGCACCAGTTGGGGACTAAGTGCTAGACATATGGGCCTTTATTGTGTGTGTGTGTGTATGCGCACATATGTGTGCATGTGTGTACATGTGTATGTGTGGAGGTCAGAGAGGTTGGTTCTTTGCTTCCATCATGTGGGCTTTGGGTCTTGAACTCATGAAGTCAGGCTTGGCAGCAAGTGCCTTTACCTGCTCAGCCGTCTATCTCCTTGCCCCTTTTAAACTTTTGAGACTGGTTCTCTGAGCTCTGCTGGCCTTGAACTTGTATGTAATCTTTCTCAGTGTCCTGAATAGCTAGGATTACCACACTACACCAACCACTTCCGGCTTTTTTCTATACATATGGTCTACATTATTTATCATGTGTGTTTGTGTGTGTGTACATGTGCGTGCATGTGCATGCCTGTCCATGTGTGCCATGCCATCGGCAAGCACCTTTGCTCACTGAACCGTTTCTCCAGCCCATTTGTTCCCTGCACAGCTACCTTTGGTGAGTTCTTTTTTAAAAAAAATATTGAATTATTTTAAATTATGTGTATATCTATGGGTTTGTGGACGTGAGTGTATTGGATCCCTCTTCCTCGTGTAGCTGGGATTGCAGGAGACTGTGAGCTACATGATGCGGGTGCTGGGAATCACCTTGAACTTGTATCTTCTGCAAGAGCAAGCATGTACTCACAGCCACCAAGCCATCTCTAGCCCAAGAGAATTTATTTTTATTTTTTAAAAATAAAGCCACTTATTAGCCTGATTAATAAGTCCTATAGTTAGAACTTATTGATGATGTTGGAGAATTCTCTTTTGAGTGTGTTTGGTTCTCAGTCTTGCTGGAATGTCCATTTCAGGAAGGCGGTAACCTCAACTCTCCTGTCCGCCCTGTATTTCCAGTGTCCAATAATAGGTGCTTATGAAATACTTGTTGATTGACTAGGAATTACATGGTTCTTCCAGGCAGGTATTATTATCTTTTTTTTTTTTTAAAGATTTTTTAAAAAAAGATTTTGTTTATTTATTTTGTATACAGCATTCTAGCATTCTGCCTGCATGTATGCCTGTAGGCCAGAAGAGCCTCGTTACAGATGGTCATGAGCCACCATGTGGTTGCTGGGAATTGAACTCAGGACCTCTGGAAGAACAGATAGTGGAAGAACAGACAGTGCTCTTAACCTCTGAGCCATTTCTCCAGCCCCCACCCCCTTTTAAAGATTTTATTTATTTTATTTATATGAATACACTGTTACTGTCTTCAGACACACTGGAAGTGGGCATTGGATCCCATTACAGACGGTTGTGAGCCACCATGTTGTTGCTGGGAACTCAACTCAGGACCTCTGGGAGAGCAGTCAGTGCTGTTAACCACTGAGCCGTCTCTTCAGCCCTGTTATCCTTTTTAATAAAGGAAGAGACTGAGTCCCAAAGAAGCAATGTGAACTAGCCAGTGTCAAAGATCCAGTCAGGTTTTTATTTTCTTGAGACAGAATCTTACTCTGTAGCCTAGGCTAGCCAGGATTATAGGCATGAGCTACCGCATCAGGCTTTAGAACTCTTTGGAACTCTTTAGAGTCTGCCTGGTTCCAGGTAGGATGTGCCTCCCTCCCTCCCCCATCCCCACCCCAACTGGGACTCTAACCTAGGACTTTGTACACGGGTGGTAGTTGGTTGTCTATGTGCCAGGTTCTAGAATCACCTAGGAGATAAACTTCTGGGCACATCTGTCAGGGAGTTTCCAGATGCAGTTAATTGTGATGAGAAGACCCACTCTGACTGGGGAGCATCGTCTCATAGACTGGGGTCCTGGGCTGAGTAGAAAGGAGAAGCAATATTTCTGTGGTGGGATTAAAGGCCTGTGCCACTAGGCCCAGCAATGACTTATTTTATTACTTATTTATTTTTTGGTTACATATATTAGTGTGTGTCTGCACATGTGGATACAGGTGCCTGCAGAGACCAAGAGAGGGTGATGGATGCCCTGGAGCTGGAGTTACAGGTGGTTGTGACTCCTGATGTGAATGCTGGGAACTGAAGCAAGAGCCAGCCGTATGTGCTCTTAACCTCTCAGCCATCTCTCCAGCTCTGAGACAAGGTTTTGGTGTATGACCCTGGCTGGCCTTGAATGTGTAATCCTGCCTCAGCTTCCCTGCTAGCCTGCACTACCACCCGTGGCTTAGAGAATAAGATCCTGACCCACATCTCTTAGGTGCTAGATACCCAATTCCTGTGTCCACATCTTGGAAGTGTTATGGATTCAGCTTGTCTCTGTGTGGGTGGCTCTGATTCTTAGGATCTCAGAAGGTGACCTTGTTTGAAGATTAGCTCTTTGTAGAGGTTATCATGTTGAAGTGAGGCTATCAGGATGGGCCCAAGGTCAGAATCCCTGGTGTCCTCATTATGGAAAACTGTGACACAGAGGGCTGTGCACAGAGGGAAGATGACGGGTGGAGTTGGCCATCTATTAGCTAAGGCCTGGGACAGACTCCCTTCCTCTGCCCCAGCTGGCCTGGCCCTTGCTTTTCAGCATCTTGGCCATCTATTTCTGATTTTTTTTAAAGATTTTTTTTTTTTTTTTTGAGGGGGTTGGTTTTTCAAGACAAGATTTCACTGTCTATCCTGGAACACACTCTGTGGATCAGGCTGGCCTCAAACTCACTGAGATCCACCTGCCTCTGCCTCCAGAGTGCTGGGATTAAAGGTATGTGCCGTTGCTGCCTGGCTAAAATGTATTTATTTTTATTTTATGTGTGTGAATGTTTTGCCTGCGTGTATTTATGTGTACCATGTACGTGCCTGGTGCACAAGGAGGCTAGAAGAAGGCACTGGATCTCTTGCAACTGGAGTCACAGACAGTTGTGAGCTACTGTTTTAGTGACAGTTTCTATTGCTTTAGTGAAACACAATGACCTGAAGCAAGTTGGGGAGGAAAGGGTTTATTTGGCTTGTATTCCAGCATTACAGTCCATCATTGAAGGAAGCAAGGACACTATCTCAAGCAGGGCAGGGACCTGGAGGTAGGAGGAGCTGATGCAGAGGTCACGGAGGGGTGGTGCCTACTGGCTTGCTCCTCATGGCTTGCTCAGCTTGCTTTCTTACAGAACTCAAGACCATCAACCCAAGGATGGCCCCACCCACCATGGGCAGGGCCTTCCCCATCAATCAAATGGGGAAAATGTTAAGAAAATGTCCTACAAGTCTGCCTATATTCCTATCTTATGGAAGGATTTTCTCAACTGAGGTCTCTACCTTTCAGATGACTCTAGCTTGAGTCAAGTTGACATGAAACTATCCAGGGCAGCTACCATATCGGTGCTAGGAACGGAACCCAGGTACTGTTCCAGATCAGCAAGTGGCTTAGCTGCTGAGCCATCTCTCCAGGCCCAATTTCTGTTGTTTTCGTTGCTTGGCTTGTAGCATTTTTGTGATATCAGCCAGAACAAATGTTGAGGGTCCTCTCTAAGAGCCATATGCATGCACTTGTAACTCCAGTTCCTATTTATTTATGTTTTTTTTTGAAACAAGGTGTCTAGCCTGGGTTGTTCTTGAACTCCCTTTGTAGCCTGATGGCCCCAACCTTCTAATCCTCTTAACTTCCTCCTGTGTGCTTGGATTACAGGTATTTTCACACGAGTTGTTTCATGTGGTACTGGGGATGGAAGCCAGAGCCTGGTGCATGCTAGACAAACATGAGCTGTGTCCCCAGCCCCGAGGACCTCACTTTATCTAGATTGTCTCTGTGACAGTCTTACCTCCAGACAAGGTTGCGTGTTGAACTCTTAGGGATCAGGCTCAGTACACGGGTGTGGGAAGATGAGGTAGAGGTCACTCACATCATGGCTGACCAAGGAAGCAAGCAGAGAGTGGGGCTAGAACCCAGGACACTTTGGAAGTTTCCAAGACCCTCCCCCAGAAAGATACTTCTTCCAGTCAGTGCCCATCACTCTCATCTTTGGCCTGTTGTCATAGGACATCCTCCCTCTGTGCTCTAGCCTGGCTCTTTTCCTTTAGGATAGCAACTAACTCTGTTGCATCAAGGCGCATTCCATAATCTTACCTAAGTGACACTCTCTACAGGGATCTACCTTCACAGGCGCCAGGTAGACAGGAAGGTGTGTGGAACACTGTCCTACCTTCAGGCAGGGGTGGAGTCCATTCTGATGTATCTGTCCTCACCCATGTCTTCTAGAGGAGGAGCGAGTAGACATTCTGGTCAACAATGCAGCCGTGATGCGGTGCCCACACTGGACCACTGAGGATGGCTTTGAGATGCAGTTTGGTGTCAACCACTTGGGTGAGGTCTGGGCCGGTTTTACATGGGTTCTTGATGGGGAGTCACCCGCTCTGGGTGTTTGTGTGGAATCTTTCTCCATTCTTTTAAAATGTATTAATGTATATGTCTGTCTTGTAGACTGGGTGAATCTTCATTTTTTTTTCCCTCTTCAACTACTTTTTGGTTTTTCGAGACAGGGTTTCTCTGTGTAGCCCTGGCTGTCCTGGAACTCACTCTGTAGACCAGGCTGGCCTCGAACTCAGAAATCTGCCTGCTTCTTCAACTACTTTTTTACAATTAGTTTTGAGGTCATATAAGTGATGGCATTTTCATGCATGTGTGCCTTGGTCTCTGTCATTCCTCTCCTGCCCCGAGCTTCCCCTCCGCCCTTCTCTCCTTCCCCCATTTAGTCCCTTTTCATAGCTTTACTCTTGTGGCTGTGATAAAACGCCCCGGCAGAAGGCAGCTTATGGGAGAACAGTTCTAGGTTACAGTCCGTCACTTGGGGAACTCAAGGTGCCAGGACCTGAAGTGGCTGCACATCTGCAGTCAGGAGCAGGGAGACGCATGTGTGCGTGCTGGTGCTCACATCTGCAGTCAAGGCCTGCGTGCATGCTGGTGTTCGGCTCGCTTTCTTCATGCTTAGACAGTGCAGGGGTCAAAAGGAGCAAACAGAAAACTCCCACTTCAAGAGTGGATCTTCCCACATCAGTGATCATAATCAAGATCCCCCTACAGGCAGGGGCACAGCCAGCATGACCTACGCAGCTCCACCTTGAGGTCCTGTTTCCAGGCTATGTTGTACAAGGTTGACAGTGAAAATGACTGTCTTCTCTTGTGTTTTTTTCTTTCTGTTTGCTTTCCTTCCTTCTTTCTTTCCTTTGTTCCTTTCTTCTTTCCTTCCTTCCTTTTTTCTCCCTCCCTCCCTCCCTCCCTCCCTCCCTCCCTCCTGCCCCTCCTTCCCTCCTTTCCTCTCTCTTTCGGCCTTCCTTCCTTCCTTCCTTCCTTCCTTCCTTCCTTCCTTCCTCCTCCTCCCCTTCCTCCTCCTCTTCCTCCTCTTCCTCCTCCTCTTCCTCCTCTTCCTCCTCCTTCTCGCTCTCTTTCTCTCTTTCTTTCTTTCTAGATTCATTTTTGTTGTGTGTATATGGGTGTTTCTTACATGTATGTCTGTGTACCACACGCATGCCTGGTGTCCTCTGAGGCCAGAATTGGGTATCAGATCCCTTAGGATACGATTGTGAGCACCCACGTGGGTGCTAGGAATTGAGCCTGAGTCACTTAGGAGAGCAGCCACTGCTCTTAACTGCAGAGCCATCTCTCTAGCCCTGATTTTAATTTTCTTTATGGGATCTTTTTTCTCCATTGCATGTATCTATCACATTTTCTTTAATTTTTTTCTTCAGCCAGGTGTTAGTGTTGCATGCTTTTAATCCTAGCACCAGGGAGACAGAGGCAGGTGGATTGTTATGAATTCCTAGGTCAGCATGGTCTACATAGCAAGTTCCAGACCATCCAAGGCTATGTATATTGAGTCCCAGTCTCTGTCTCTCTAAAAACTTATTTATTTATTTATTTATTATATATAGAGCGTTTTGCCTGCACGTATGCCTACAGGCCAGAAGAGGGATCCAGACCTCATTGTAGATGGTTGTGAGCCACCATGTGGTTGCTGAGAATTGAACTCAGGACCTTTGGAAGAGCAGCCAGTGTGCTTAACCTCTGAGCCATCTCTCCAACCCAAGTCCCAGTCTAATAAAATTAATTTAACTTTGAGAATTTCATAATACATATAATGAACTATGATCATATCTATTCAGTATTTCTCTTTGACTCCACCTGCATTCCCTGCATCATGCTTCTGTCCCAACTTCATCTCTTTTGAAACCTAGGCTGGCCTTGAACTTGTATCTAAAGATGACTGCGAACATCTGGTCTTCCTTCCCCCACTTTCTAGGTGCTGGGATTGTAGGCATTTAGCCTGGTTTTTGTTTGTTTGTCTATTTGTTTGTTTGTCACATTTTCTTTATCTGTTCATCTGTTGATGGTTATCTAGGCTGGTTCCGTTTTCTGGCCATTGGAATCGTTGCAGTGATCCACACGGTCAGCAGGTATCTCTATGATCTGCTGACTCAGAGTTCTCTGGGTCTCTGTCCAGGAGAGGTGGAGCCGGGCCATATGGTAGTCCACTGTAGAGAAGTCTGCACACTGATTTCCATAGTGGCTTCTCCAGTTTACAATCCACCAGCAGTAAGGATTCTCCTTCCACATGTCCTCGCCACCACTTGTTATCATTTATTTTCTTGGTGATGGACTAGGTTGAGATGAAATCTCAGAGCAGTTTCCACGATGGCTAAAGAGACAGAAAACATTTTCAAATATTTGTTGGCCAATTGTATTTCTTTCTTTCTTTCTTTCTTTTTTAGTTGAAAACCATCTGTTTAGTTCATTACCCTATTTGTTGATTGGATGTTTTTTTCTTTGACTTTTGCATTCTTCCCAACTTCTCATTCCTGCTAATGGAAGGGAGGAAGAAAGAAAGGAAAGCTGTGAAAGGAAAGCTGTTCCACCACTAGAAGTAGCCATGATTTAATGACAATGGCCCCCATAGGCTTATATGTTCGAACACTTGGTTTCCAGTTAGTGGAACTGTTTGGGAAGGATTAAAAAGTAGCCTTGTTGGAGGAGGTATGTCATTGTGGGGTGGGCTTTGAGGTTTCAAAAGCACACCCCAGGCCCAGTCTCTCTCTGCTTATGGATCAGGATGAAAAGCTTTCAGATACGTCTTTGACACCATGCCTGGCTACCTGCCACCATGATTACCATAAACCAACTGTCTAAAACTAGTCAAGCTACTTTCTTTTATAAGAGTTGACTTGGTCATGGTGTGTTTTCACAGCAATAGAACAGTAACTAAGACACTGGGCTGGGTGTCATACACCTTTTTGAGAGCTTGTTTGGCAGCTCTAGAGGAGGAACACAGACACTCATACACCTTTGATGGAAGGGAGAAGGTAATCTACTTCCACCAAGTGCACAGCTTCTGGATGTGCATGGAGCAGTGAGGGAAAATGTCTTGTCTAGCCAGACGGATCAGCTGAGATCAACCCTGGTGATTAATGAGATGACAGATGTCAGAGCCAGCCTGCCCTCACATCCTCACTTCCTGTTGGGCCTCATGACCTGAGATTGATCCTTGGGACCTACATGGTGGAAGGAGAAAACCAGTCTTGAAGGATGGTCTTACCTCTATATGCCGTGGTACATGTTCCCAGCCCTTCCCAAATACATGCAATTGATAAAAAGAAAAACCAACTGAAGTGGGTGAGGATATAGAGGAGGAGGAGGATTAACATACTGCTGTGAATAAAAAAATAAAATAGTGGGGCTGGAGAGATAGCTCAGTGGTTAGGAGCACTGGCTGTTCTTTAAAAGGACCTGGGATTGGTTCCCAGCACTTGTCGTGGCCTCTTACAAACATATGTAACTCTAGTTCCAGGATCCACTGCCCTCTTGTGGTCTCCATGGGCACTGCATGCATGTTTTGCATGGACACATTCAGACAAAACACTCATACACATTAAGAAATAGAATAATTGCCATGGGGGAAAAATCTTTTCTTGTTGTTCTTCATCTAGGGCACTTTCTGTTGACAAATTTGCTGTTGGACAAGCTGAAGGCCTCGGCCCCAGCACGGATCATCAATCTCTCGTCTCTGGCTCACGTTGCTGGGCACATAGACTTCGATGACTTGAACTGGCAAACGAAAAAGTATGACACCAAGGCAGCCTACTGCCAGAGCAAGTTGGCTGTTATCCTCTTCACCAAGGAGCTGAGCCGCCGGCTGCAAGGTGTGCAAATGGTGACCTTTTCTGGTCTCCTTCCTTCCTCTCTGTGTCTAGGATAGTTCTATAGCCCTGAGCTGGTGATGAAGAGACAAGTAGTAGCTTTAGACACTGTAGTCAAAAGGATGGCACCTCTCCCATCATGCCCCCACAGTGCTGGAGGCAGCCATCACTAATAAATCATGGTTCTCATGATTGCTCTTTAGTCTCAATCAGCCTGCCGTCGTCAGACATGCTCATCTTGCTTTTCTTGGATAGACTTCTAAGCCGCTGGTGCTGAGAGCCTGTGGTTGTGGACCGGGAGTGGTTTTGGTCCATAGGGGACATGTGTGAATGTTTGCAGACATGCCTGTCACACCTGGGTCAGCGAGAAGTTGCTCTCGGCATCTAGTGGGTAGAATTCAGGGGTTCTCCTGGATGGTTCCCTCCATTCCTTCCAATCTAACGGAAGAAATGTAGTGTCAGGGATTAAAAAAGCTTCCCCTGGCTCCTTGCTTCTCAAGAGTTGTCTGTGACTAGCAATGCCAGCCACCCATGGGGGATAGTCATAATTGTGGTATTTTAGATCCACTCCAGTCCTCTGCTTCAGACTTAGTGGCAGTGGTGGAGTCCAGAAATGTGGGTCTCTCAGGCCCTCAGGGCTGCTGTGCTTGGGGAAGCCACATGACGGGGCTCCCTTGCGAGGGGAAGCCACTTGAAGCTGTGGTTTCAAAACATGGAGGATAGTATGGGCTCAAGTGTGGGAAGCAGCATAGGCTGGGGAAGGCTCTGAGTGTAGTGGGGCCAGCCTGGTCTTTTTTCACTAGTCTTTGTGTGTGTCTGTTTGCATGTGTGCACGAACATGTGTGCATGCATGAGGGGGTGTGGGGGTGGGGGCAATGTTGGGTGCCATCTACTTTGTTTTTTATTTGAGGCAGTATCTCCTCCTTGGCCTGAAGCTCACCTACTAGGCTAGGCTAGCTGGTCCTTGGGCCCCAGCGATCTGTCTGTCTCTGCCTCCTCAGCACTCTCTGGGGATGGCAAGCATGCACCACCACTGACACGCCTTTGGACCTGTATTCTGGGTATCAGACTCAAGACCTCCTGCTTGCACAGTGGGCTTGTTAACAACTGAACTATCTTCCCAGCACTCAACACCAATGTTTCTATTTTTCCCAGGCACTGGTGTGACTGTCAATGCGCTGCACCCTGGTGTGGCCAGGACGGAGCTGGGACGACATACGGGCATGCACAACTCTGCCTTCTCCAGTTCCACGCTTGGTGAGTCCCCTTCCAGCTTGGTGTCCCTTCACAGAGCCCTGTGCCCTCTCAACTGGGGATCCAAGACTTTCTCTTGGAGCCTGTCACTTTACTTCTTTTGATTCTCTGTGTCTCTGACTGGGTTTCACTATATATTTCTGACTGTCTTGGAACTTGTTATGTAGGCCAGGCTGGCCGTGAACTCACAGAGATATGCTTGCCTCTGCCTCCTGAGTGCTGGGATTAAATAAATGGGCCATCACGTTTGGCAGTTTTGTTTTTCTCAACATGGCCTTATCCAGACTAGCTGGTCTTGAACTTCTGATCCTCCTACCTCCTGAGTGCTAGGGTTACGGGTGTGTGTCACCACACCTGGCTGCTGGCTTTACCTCTTTCAGCTCTCTCCCGTGTCTTCCTTGGGTAGAAGAGGGGTCATTGTACCATGTGGTTCTGGCCTCAGATCAACCGAAAACGAGCTAGAGTCCCATCGACGAGTAAGAAAACTGTCTTGGAGGATATATCTTGACTCCTGGAGTCAGGCTGTGCATGGGGTAACCCCAGCTTCACTCAAAACTAAGTGACTCAGGGAAATGCACCTCCCAGTTTAATAGCCTCTTAACTGTGTAGACCAGGTTGGCCATGAACTTGTGATCCTCCTGCCTTTGCCTCCAGAGTGCTAGGATCATAGACATACCTCACCATGCTTGTTGCTTTGAGTTCCAGTTTCATGTCCGTGATGGGACTACCCTCACAGTCACTGGGAAGATGAGCCGAGATTGCCCATAAATTGGCCTGCACAGCTAAGACTTTAGTCTGACTCACAGCCAAACATTAGTTGGAGAGAGCTTAAATTAGAGAGCTTTATGAGATCTGTCCACTTGGAGCTTGGGGAGCTTGGGTCCCCAGAGAAGAGGGGGAGAAAGAGTTGTAGGAGCCAGTAGGATTGAGAACACCAGGAGAACACGGCCCACAGAATCAACTAAGCAGGGCTCACTCACAGAGATGGAAGCAGCCATCACCAAGCCAGCATGGGCCTGTGCTAGGGCCTCTGCATATATGTTATGTTTGTGTAGCTCAGGGGTTTTGTGGGACCCCTAACAGTAGGCACTGTCTCTGACTCTTCTGTCTGCTCTTGGGACCCTTTTCTTCCTGCTGGGTTGCCTCACCCAGCCCCTGACATGTGGACTTGTGCCTAGTCTTGTCGTCCTTGTTATGCTGTGTTCACTTGATATCCCTGGGAGGCCCACTCTTTTCTGAAGGGAAGCAGAGGAGAAGTGGATCTGGGGGAGAGGGAAAGTGGGGGGAGGGGAAACTGGGAGGAGTGAAGGGAGGAGGAACTGGTTGGGATGTGCTGTATGAGAGAAGAATTAAAAGAATGTAGTCTGAGTCAGTAGAGCACTATAACAGGTATTTATAATGCCCGAGAGTCATTTAGTGGGCATGTATTAAGAAGTTTAACATGTGAGTACCACAAGATGCATTCAGTAAGTTGATGACTCAGTTGGCAGACTGCTTGGCTATCTTTCATGTAGCTCTGGGTTTGATCTCCAGCACCACATAAAATCAAACCAACTGGGATATGCCTGCCAGCATTCTGGAGGTAGAGGCAGAAGGGTAAGACGTTTAAGTTCGCTTTGTCTGTATAGTGAGTGAGTTCAGGGCCAACCTGGGCTACACATACCCTTGTCTGAGAACAAAGACTATTTCCAGGAAAAAAATGAGTAGGGAAAAAAATGTGCTTTTATTTTTCTGGGAACATTCAGGGAGGCTTCCTATAAGAGGCAGCTTTTGGACTCATTCCTCCTTTTGGAGGGACTTGTGGGGGTGTTGCCTGGGATGGGACCTTTAGGTAGAGGGAACTGTAAGGACAAAGGCCTGGAGGTAGGTTCCTTGGGACCTTAGGGTAGCTTCTAGCCTCAGGGGTTTTGGGTTCCCTGAGGGTTGAACAGGGATTTTTTAAAACTGTTCTGTGGGTGATTGTAGGGCCCTTCTTCTGGCTGCTGTTCAAGAGTCCCCAGCTGGCGGCTCAGCCCAGCACATACCTGGCTGTGGCAGAGGAACTGGAGAATGTTTCGGGGAAATACTTTGATGGACTCAGAGAGAAGGCTCCATCTCCTGAGGCTGAAGATGAGGAAGTAGCCCGGAGACTTTGGACTGAAAGTGCCCATTTGGTGGGCTTGGACATGGCTCATGGATCCCTTGGGAGAGGACAGTCCATCCCCAGATAACCTTCAGAGATCCAGATGGAGCTGCATTTACCAAGACTGCTGCTGGCTATGCCATTATCATCCTCTAGGGGCAGTGTTGCACTGTTGGAATCTCAAGACCATGGCTGCTAGCTGCCATGACCTCATCATTCTCTAGGGGCAGTGTTGGTACTATCAGAATCTCGAGACTGTGGATGTTGGCTGCTATGTCCTCATCATCCTCTAGGTGGCAATGTTGGTTCTAGCATTTTTTTGTTAGCTGGCTACCTTGAGTTGGACCACAGGTAGGTGTTGACTTGGGGTGGCAGGTATGTACTCTGTTGGTTACTGGGGAGATGGTCCATCACGTGTCTCCCTTAGGAATCGAAAAGGGGAGGCTGATAGAGGAGTCAGTCACTCTAGTTATGGGCAGTGTCCAAAGGCAGTGGGCACCAAAGCTGCTGTGGTGGACTGAGAGGTCGACTATTAAAGAACAGGTAATCAGGCAAATATGGCTATAGATCTTTGTGGGCCCTTGTACACGTCTGCCTCCTCTCTGACTTGGCTGTTGTTCTAGTTTGCTTTCTGATGCTGCGATAAACACCATGACCAAAATCAACTTGGGGAGGAAAAGGGCTTATTTACCTTACAGGATATAGTTTATCATGGAAGAGGGAAAACAGAGCAGAAACTCAGGACAAGAACTTGAAACAGATACCAATGGAGATTTGTTCCGAGGCATATGTCAAATACCTTTCTTTTATTTTTATTATTATTATTTTTTTATAGCAAGGGTCTCACTTTGTAACCTTGGCTTTCCTGGAACTTGCTATGTAGACCAGGCTGGTCTTGAACTCACAGAGATCTGCCTTCCGGGATTAAAGGCATGTATTACTATGCCTGGCCCATGTACCAGTGCAGGCCTACCTGCTCAGGGATGGCACCATCTGCAGTGGGCTTCTACCTCCAACATCAACTAGCAATCAAGAAAATGTTCCACAGACATTCTCCCAGGGCAGTCTGGTCTAAGCAGTTCTTCAGGTGAGGGTCCCTTCGTCCTTTAGGTATGTCAGGTTGATAACCAAATAAACCAGACAGCTCTTGATTGCAAACTGCAAAGGGTTGATGCTACCTCAGGGATGGAGTGGGCCTGAAGCTCTTGTCTGATCAGTAAAGGGCATCTGTGGGCACCTTGCATACTGGACTGTGGCTGGGGGCTGCGATCCTGTGGAAACCCTGGCACAGACCCTTCCTTTGTTAGCCCTGAACTGCTCAGGATGGAATGGAGTGAAATTGTCTAGCTGCTGCCTCAGAAAACCAGTGTGACCTGGGATCTCTCCAATTTCTGTGTAATTTTAACCTTAGACTCTCAAGCTTGTTGTTTGATTATAATAACATGCTAGAGGTAATGGCACACATCGGTAACTCCAGCACTTCAGAGGGAAAGACGGGAGAATCAAGAGTTCAAGGTCATCCTCTGCTGCCCTGGGCTGTACGAGATCCTGTCAAAACAAGGCAAACCAGTGAAATCTCCAAACAGCTGATTCATAGATTTAAAATAAAAACCTTTATTTAGTATGTGTGTGTGTTTATACACACACACATGTATACTACGTGTGTGTATGTGTACAGGTTTGTGCACATGCCCTTGTATGTGCATTGCATGATAGAGGTCAGAGGACAACCTGTGGGAATCTGTTCTCTCCTTGTGAGACCTGAGGATCCAACTCAGCTTGTCAGGCTTGGTGGCAAAGGCCGTCACCTCTGAACCATAGTGCCAGCTGAGTCGTAGGTTTTATTTTATCCTTTCTGTATGGAATTTATTCCACATACAACTTGCCATTTATTCCTTTTAAGAAACTAACACATTCACTTGTTACCAAGACAATGACTTTCCAACAACTCCCCTGTATTTCTCATCCATCCTGTTCTGCGTAAATTAGGCTAGATCAACTTCACTTTTTTTCCCTTTTTTGTTTTGAGACAAGAGTTTCACTCTGTAGTTCAGGCTAAATGTGAACTCTCAGTCTCCTTGTCTGAGCCTCTGGGGTCCAGAGATTACATGTCTGCCACACCCTGTGTTTACAATCGATGTTTACAATCAAATAAATGGAAATAAACATTTCGGTCACTAATTTGTCATTGTCCTTTTGTCCGAGGTGTGTACTCCTCCTGCTGGGACATCATTTCTGACAAAAGCAACTTAAGGAAGGAAGGTTTTAGTCTGACAGTTCCAGGATCCAGTGCATCATGGCGGGGAGGGCATGGTGGCGGGAGGCAGGCATTGGGGCAGCTCTGTGTATCTGCAGTCCAGAAGCAGAGAGGAAAGCTGGTGCCTCGATCCCTTTCACCTTTACTTTGTTTTATTTTTTACACAATGTGTGTCCGTGTGCTTGTATCATGGTGTGCTTGTGGAAGCCAGAGGAGACCTCATGGGAGGTTTGGTGACAAGTGTTCTACTCAGTGAGCGATCTCGCCAGCTCCCTTGTTGACTGTTGTTAGTGTATGGTGGTGGTGGACAAATGCCACACCATGCTGTGACAGTGAGAGAACAACTTTCATGGAACCAATTTTTTCCTGCCACCGTGACATGGGTTCTGGGAATTGAACTCAGGTTGTCCGGCTTTTGTGGCAAGTGCCTTTACCTGCTGAGCCACCTCAGCAGCCTCTGGGTTCTGCTTTTTATGCAGTCTTGGCCTCCAGCCCATAGTGGTAGTGCTCCTTACGCTCACTGTGGGTCTTCACATTGCAATGAACTCAGCCCAGAAACTCCCTCCGACATGACCAGACGTTTGTCTCTTAGGTGACACTAGATACTGTCAAGTTGACAATATTAACCACCAGAGAGTGTCTTCCCTGGGAGATGAAGTTCATCCTAAAGAGGCTAAAAGTCTAAATCCATATGGAGCCCAGGCTACAAGTGTGGCTGACCATGGAGATACACTCATGCAGGGGGATTTGTCTTTTTTCACAAATAGATGTGGCTGCTTCTAACCACAGACCCTCACAACCAATATCTACTTCCTTTTCAAAACCAAGAGCCAGCACATACCACAAATGCTGCCCTGTCATAATCTCAAGGCCCCAGATGGCTTGAAGACAGCAGTACCCTAAGAGATAGGAAAGTTAACAAATTGTACTTTAAAAACCAGTACAGAGGGTTGGAGAGATGGTTCAGTAGTTAAAAGCTCAACAACCACATGGTGCCTCACAACTATCTATACTGGGATCTGATGCCCTCTTCTGGCATGCAGACATACATGGCAGATAGACCACACACACACACACACACACACACACACACACACACACACACACACATTTATTTGTGGGCAAGTAATTAGGCCAACTAAAGAATTGGGACATGGCAGTAATACACCTATAATCCTAGCCTTAGGGAGGCTGAGGCAGGAAGATCTTGAATTTGAGTCTAGTTTGGACTATAATAGTGAGATTCTAGCTCAAAAACTGGAAATCAAACCATAATGAATAAAGACAAAACCCTCAAACAGACCAAAGGAACAACCACAAAATGTTGCTTCGCATGGTGGCTCAGCACAGAAAGGAATAGAACTTGCAATAGATTGTATGTACTTCTCTTTGGAACTGAGGAATTCTGTCTGTCCTTTTGCCTTTGGTGACCAGTGAAAAAATGTTCCAAGGGTACAAACTTGGCTGATATATACTCATTTTTTTTTTTTGAGACTGGTTCTTATAGCCCAGGCTAGCCTCAAACTCAGTAGCAGAGGATGACCTTCAGCTATGGATTCTCTTGCCTCCACTTCCCGAGTGGTGGGATTACAATGTTCAACAATCGTCAAACAATGTTGTGCTGACACGCTGGATTTGTAACCATATGGCCTCATCAGTTGTAAAACTAACCAGGTACAGTGGAAGCTGGTGGGTAAATAGCTGATTTCCTGAATATACCCAATGTCTTCCTCAGGTCTTCTCTCAGGTCTTCCTGGGCCTGCATAATCCAGCAACTGAAGGGTTAACTCCCAGCAGCACCAGGTGAGCTGATCTAGTTCTTGGATCATTAGCACCTTTGACAAGTCAGGGGCCACTTCTCTGGATGGTGGAATGTTGAAAATTACCCTAGGTTTAAGTAGCAAGAGACATTAATTAAGGGAGTTAAGTTCAGCAGAAAAGCATGTGCTGGATCTGTGATGTCTTCAAGAATCTCCCCGTCTGTTTATCCATTAGTAGAGGAGATTCATCTCAGGTGGGCCTCTGTGGCCAGTTGGATGGTGGCCCCTGTGTGAATATAACCATAATTCTGGTGCCTGGAGACTGAACCAATGGCTCCATGGTCAAGAGCACTGACTGGTCTTCCAAGAGGAAGTTCAATTCCCAGCATCCACATGGCAGCTCACAACTGTACTGCCTGTTCCATGAGATCTGAGTGCTCATGCAGACATACATGCAGTCAAAACACCAATGTACATAAAATAAAAATGAACGAAAATTCTGGTGCCTGGGAACAATCATCTAGTAGGAAATGGTGTTGAAATCAGTCTCCTTAAGTTATGTGGGCATCAAGATAAATGCCTCTAACCCTTGGGAGGCTGAGACAGGATTGCCTTGAGTTCAAGGCCACCTAGACTGCACAGTAAGACTCTCTCACAGAACCACATTGTGCTTTTGAGGTGCATGTAACCAGAATACTCAGGCTTGTGCCAATGCCAATGAGCAGAGGCAGGAATTTTCTTCCCTCCCCCCTTCCCCTCTCTTCCTCCCTCTCTCTGGTTTTCTTCTGGAATTACAGATGAGCCATAAAATACTGGGCTCTCACCTTGGCTTTTCAAAAGCATCATAGAACTCTAAGGAGAACGCTTCCATGGTACACTGTCCATTGCGTTGCCTCCTGTCTTGGAGGCTTTGGTGGATTTGCCTGTGGTGTGGTGGTTTGAAACAATGGCCCCCATAGACTCATAAGGAGTGGAATTATTAGAGGCATGGCCTTGTTGGAGTAGGTGTGACTTTATTGGAGTAGGTGTAACCTTGGAGTAGGTGTGACCTTGTTGAAAGAACTGTCACTGAGGATGGGCATTGAGGTCTCAGATGCTCAAACCAGGCCCATTGTCTCTTTCTCTTCTTGTTTACTGACAGTCTCAATATAGAACTCTCAGCTCCTCCAGCACCAAGTCTGCCTGTGTGTTGCCGTGCTTCCCACCATGACAATAGTAGACTAAACCTCTGAACTGTAAGCCAGCTCCAGTTAAATGTTTCCTTATGAGAGTTGGAGTAGTCATGGTGTCTCTTCACAGCAGTAAAGACCCTAACTAAGATATGTGGTTTGCGTATGCCTTGAGCATGTTCCCAGGGGTTGGCCTGGGGAAACCTTGGTCCTGAGTGTGCTGATGTGAAAATGATGGGACTGGAGGCGCTTAGTAGATTATTGGAAGTGTTGATGCCCTCCGAGGGACTTGGAGTTCTTCTGGGTCTCTAGTAATTTCCTTCTTTCAGGCTTCCCATTTTACTTCTCTTCCTCCTGCTCCTGCTCCTGCTCCTGCTCCTGCTCCTGCTCCTGCTCCT